CACTTGTCAGAATGCCTACCATCAACAAATCAACAAATAACAAGTGCTGGCAAGGTTATGGGGAAAAGGTAACCCTAGTACACTGCTGGTGGGAATGCAGACTGGTGCAGCCACTGTGGAGAACAGTATGGAGTTTCCTCAAAAAATTAAATATGGAATTGCCATTTGAGGTAGTGATTCCACTTCTAGGAATATATCCTAAGAAACCCAAAGCACCAATCAGAAAGAATATATGCACCCCTATGTTCATAGCAGTGCAACTTACAATAGATAAGATCTAGAAGCAGCCCAAGTGCTCATCAGTAGATAAGTGGATTAAAAATGGTGTACATTTACACCATGGAATATTATGCAGCTGTAAAAAAAGGGATCTCTTACACTTTGAAACAGCATGAAGGGACTTGGAGACTATTATGCTAAGTGAAATAAGCCAGTCAGAGAAAGACAAGTGTCACATGATCTCACTCATGTGTGGAATATAATGAACACAATAAACTTGTGAACCATACAGATCCAGAGACATAAAAGCATGGAACAAAGTGATGATTCTCATAGAGAAGGTAGGGGATATTGATAAACCAAAGAACTTATATGCATATATGCATAACACATGGACACAGACAATAGTGTGATGAAGCCCTGGAGGGTCGGCAGGGCTGGGGTGGGGGGGGGTGTCAATGGGGAAAAAAGGCGGACATCTATAATACTTTCAATAATAAAGATAAGTTTTTTAAAAAAGAAGACTGCTGTTCAGTATCTGATAGATATTGAGCTGGCTAATATCCAGTAGTGCCCTAAAACTAAGATCTTTAGGATATGTTTTCTACCGAACCCAAACCTACAGCTACAGTTTCACTTCACAGCAGCTGGAGTTTAGGCTAAAGTACATAGCCAAGTCAAATGTTTGTGCATTTTCCTGCATACTTAAATAATTTCTTTACAGCTATTTACTACAGCTACTATACTCATTAAGTCATTCTCATTTATTTCTAAAATTTGGAGGACTTTTATCAATAATTTATTTGTGTAACCTCCTGGCCACTCTCCTACTACCCTTACCCTGGGGTTGAAAACAGACTTACCTGACAGGTGGATTGTGAACAACAATATTCCCTCTCCTGTTTCATATTGTTTTTTCTACAGATAGATGTCAGACTGTTCAAATTCATGAAACAAAAGAGTCTGCCCCAAATGGTGGGGTAGAGTTGGGTTTCTAGAACTGTCTATCTGAGAGATATGGCTAACTCGGGAGGTTCTTATCAGGATGTTCAAAGCCACGTTTTAAATATTTCTATCTATAATAAAATTGGTATATTATTCTCCCTTTACTTGCCTGCTTTTTGCTCTCTTGTTGACTCAAAACACAAGCAAGGAATAAGTGTGGGATTCCTTCAAATCCCACAATACCAATAGTGACACAGAGAACATGGTGTGCATATAAAGCAGTATTATACATTGGAAGCAAAATGTGGCAATACACTTCAAAATTCTCATATGTAAGTGGGTTTTACATCAGAAAATCCTCTTCTGATCATTTAAACAGAAAAAATCAATGATGTTTATAAAAAATGAGATTTTTAACATATAAATTTTAATAATGAAATATGGGAAGCTTTCTTAGATAATGGCTTACACATAAGAAGAGTACAATACAGAAAAATTATGATACAAATATATATTTTTACCCAGGGAAAGTATTTACAGTTTTTGATTAGATATTGTCTCTATACCACTTTCAAGAATTTTTGTTTTCATAGAAAATGCAGACAAAGCAATTTTGTTGCCTTTTGTTAACACTTTGTTATCTATGGATTGAAGAGGAGCCAGAAATCTTGTCAACATACAATTATTGTTCTGCACTTGGAATGTGGCTCTTAAAATTGTTGCATCTTATTGTCTCCAAGGACACTATTCCCACTGCTCCCTCTAGGTATTTTGCCAAAATTCAGTGCATATTAAAATCATTAGTCATGTTTGAACTTGGTCATAAGGGCCCATTACTATCCACACAGAGGGCCCCTGTACATCCATAGGAGTCTGAGATTATAAAAGTCATCTTAATTGTCCTTCACTGTGTAAAAATCTTTTCCCAGAGAAAACAGAAATCAATTTTTTCAAAATCTTCTTTAAGAATTACCTTATATTTCTCAGACATTTAAAATACATGAATTTTATATCAGATTTCTGATATAAGAAATTGTTCCCTAGGTTTAAAGTGAGATAGAATCTTTAGTGAGAGTCTTTTGGCAATTTCTACTAGAAAACAAATTATCCATGAATGTGTATGTCTTCATAAAAGGAGCATTTGGGCACATGAACTGACCCCACTTATACTTTTACTTTGACCTTGTGACTACCAGGATTACACAGTCAACTGAAGCCAGGATTACCTTCCATAAGAGTAAGTATGTTTTTATTTGGCAATTTCAGTTTGTTTCGTCATTCAAAGTTCTAGTTCCTTAGTCCTGGAAAATATGACTAATCTGCTTAAAAATCAGACATGGCAATATTGGGTGTCTCTGAAAAATAAAATAGTTATTTCTACTGTTAGTTTGTATTATAAAAAAGAAGTTTGAAGGGATTATGTTCATTTGAAATATTTATTACATGCATCACTAGAGAGGGGTCAGTACCTGCTCACTCTTTATCCTTAATGTTTGTAGCACTACCTGTCCTATCATAGATTCTCAATAAATACCTTCTGAATGAATGCATCAGTATTCATAGCAACATTATATACATTATGATCAGAAACGTTATTTAGAGATCAATGATTTCATTTTATTTGCAAATATTTTTTAAATATAATAAATAGAAAATTCACCAGAATGAAAGTGGTCTACCAGAACATTCACTTAAATTTTGGTATCACAGAAGGTAAGTATTGGTGATTGGAAAGTGGGGAGAGTTTAGGAAAGTGGAACAATGCTCTGAGTTAACATGCCACAGTGAAGTATTGAGAGCTTAAGAATTTTCTCAGTTTCACAAGGTCATTTCCTATATGACCCTATCGAAAAAGGTACGAGATTAGCAGCTATTTATTTCTTCCCCTCAGCCTAGATTAGTGCTCCTTTTCTCCAGAGATGCCTGTAAACCATAGGTAATTTTTTGTCTCTAGCACTCTAATGCTGATATTTGTTACTGCCTTGATTGAAATAACTACCTTCAATTCAGCAGACCTTAGGAAAACACACCTGTAGCTTTCTTATGGGGTAGAGATATTGCTAGAAATAAGTGAAGCCATTAATATACCAAGCTAATTAAATTTCTCATGGAAAATTCTTTTCTCTTTGAAATGCATAGAAAACCAAAGAAATTCATTCTTTACAGCTATTTACAAACAAAAATAGCTGTCCAAGTGCTTACGTGTTAATGCGGGTTGAGAAAGAAATGTGAAGTACCTATTGCCTCATGTTCAAAACTGCAATCTCTAAACTCTGCCCTTAGCATTTCTTCACAGAACATTGAACACGTTATAAGAGGCACCAAAATTCACAAGGTTTATAAAGAATGCAGGAACTGTCCTAGTCATTGTTGCTCAGCAGTTAGAGTGAAGGATCTGGGTTTTGATTCCTGGTGAAGGGGTGGTATCTGGGTTGCAGGTTCATCCCAGGCCTGAGACAGGGCACCTGCCAAAGGAAGCCAATGCGTGTGTCTCTCTCACTCACTTCCCACCCCTCCCTCACTTCCACTCTCTCTACAAATCAATGGAAAAAAATATTCTATGATGAGGATTAACAAACAAACAAAAGGATGCAAAAAAAACAATAGTGTAGTGTTCACTGATTAGTGCCCTCACACATTAGCATAAGTATTACAGCAGGTGATGGGATGGGAGGGAGGAGGAGGAAGTGAAAGGAGACAAAGCTTTAACTGACTACCTGCCAGGCACTTTGGTGAAATATAGCAATCAACAATCACAATGATTCCATGAACTAAATATCATGGAGGATACTGAACCCGAAGAAGAAAAGGAAAATGAGAACTCCAGCATCATTCCAGAGAATAAAATACCTTTAAAACACATGTTAAATTAAATATGGCAAACATGATAGTCATTCTTTCTTGATTTCCACAAACTGTTAAGGAACTCTTACTATGCCCCTGGAGATAAGCCTGCTGCTTGGGACAAAACAATGTCAAAATAAAATTTGTTTATATAGTTTGACAATTTAGACATCAGAGAATAATAAATAATAATCACAGTCTACAATGGGAATGGTAAGAAGAAAAGATACATCTATCTTAAACAGTTATAGATAGATTCCTGGTGGAATTAATGCCTAAACCAAAACTTAAAATAGGGATAGAGCAGTTAGAGATTACAAGTGTTGAGATCTTTAAAAACAAAAGGACCATCATCTGAGAAATTCCTCAGGTAATTTTAAGCATCGTCGTTAATGGAAACTGCTAGTAGATAAGTCTAGGGAAGCAAATTGAATCAGGAGAGATGACACCAGCAGCCCGACTCTATAGGTCATGCTCTTAATCACTATGATATACCCTCTCTTGCTTGTAGCCAATGCAAGTAACCTAGTAGGAAAAAAACAAGAAATGAGGGAAATTTTATGGACTGATAGCAGAAATATTAGAAAGCTCTCCATATGCTAAGAAGCTTAAGTTTTATAATGAGGGCAAAAAAAGACTGGTTGAAAGAATTAAAATTAATGTTTCAGTTACAAAACTCCATTTCACTTTAAAAAAAGAAATATTTTTCCTTAACATGATATCAGTCTTCCCTTCCTACCAAACTCCACCACCTAACCCTAGTGAATCATCTTCATGCATTTGTGCTGCCTCCCTCAACCCAGGTTCAGCTTGGTTCTGGAACAATTACATCATTTCGATGTGATAAGAAGTACAGATGTCAGTATCCATCCTCTGTTCTGGTCCTCAAACACCTATTCATGTGCATCACAGCCTTGGATTTTTTTTTTCCCTTGCCCATATTACTCTTAAGTTCTAGTAGTTCTCTGTATAAGATATAAGACACTGATAGTATGACCTTGGCAAATTGCAGTGCAAGAAAATTTGTCAAGTATCTAAGGTTTGTCTTTAGTTTCATGTCACGCTAGACAGGAGAACACCCTTTTGTAATTCTATACCAACCTTTAGAATGGGAAGACTATGTAACTTTCTAAGGCTTTTTTGCCTGTGTTCAAGAAGCAACTTAATTATTGTTCCCCTTAGATCTCTACAAGGAGAAGAAATTGCAGAAATCTATCTTATTTTTCTATCTTTCTGCTATTCTGGCTCCATGTTAGTGAAAGACAGTAAAGGTCCCCTGTGAATGCCACATCCATTTGCAGCTAGGGTTCAAGGTCTGGAGAAGGGGCTGATGCACAAATGAATACACTAGACAAGAAATATAAATTTAGAAGGCATGAGAGAACCAGGCAAGACCTTTATCTTGCAGAGAGGGTCTCTGAAACCCTGGACCAATGAGCTTTTATTTACTTGAATACATATTTGCACTTTAGGAATGCAAACAGGGTTATTAATGATAAAGTTTGGTAAACAATAAAAGGATTATCAGGTTAGGGGATTGCTTTTAGCCAATCTGCCAATAGCAGGCATTATATTATGCTGAATTTCAGCCCTACTGAATATCAAAGTCCATTAGCCTTCCAGGGGACTTCTTGCATAATTATGCTAACTACTGTTGGTCTTTGCCTCCAGCAATAACCAAAATAGAGAACTTATTCAGACCAACTAATTTGTCTAACCAATTCCTCAACTCTCTTATCCCCTGGAAAAGAAATTTTATAAATTCTCTAAGGATGAGAAATTTTGTTCTTACTCATTACTCTGAATAAAATATTTATTGCCTGGAATATTTCTCTTTTTTAAAAATATATTTTATTGGGTTTTTTACAGAGAGGAAGGGAAAGGGATGGAGAGTTAGAAACATCGATGAGAGAGAAACATTGATCAGCTGCCTCCTGCACACTCCCTGCTGGGGATGTGCCTGCAACCAAGGTACATGCCCTTGACCAGAATCAAACCTGGGATCCTTGAATCCACAGGCCGACACTCTATCCACTGAGCCAAACCAGTTAGGGCTGGAATATTTCATTAACTTAAATGCTTGATGCATTTGAAATTCAACGCATTAATGCATTCCTTTTTCTCCTCTTCTCAACTGTTACCTAAAGCCAACATTAATTAACTTCCATTTAACTGAGAGGCAGATAAAGAGTTTCAAAGAAATACATAGTATGGGGTAAATGTCATTGCAAAAATATTGTCCACAACACATAGGGGAAATTTAATCACATCTGGGGTTTAGAAAGATGATTCTGATTGAATTGATTTTAAAATACTGAATGGGAAAAGCAAAGATATATGTTAAGCATATGTTAACATGTTTCTGCAATATTTCATCTATGAGGTAAAGACTCCAAGAGTAAAAGTAGTGTTGTGAGTGAGAGAATAAAAGGAACAAATTTAAAAGATAACAGAAATGGCAGGACATGCCAAACACAGAAAATGAGAGTAAAATAAAAGAACAATAAATATTGTTTTTAAACCAGACTTATTGTTGACAGGGAAGGGAACACAGTCATGAGGGCCACATTAAAAATCTTGAAATATGCACATCTAGAGGACTCTCAATAGGAAATCATAAGATAACAAAATAAGACCGTCCAAACTGAATAGTAATGAATGGTCGCCTAATTCCAGATTGAGTTGTACATATTTTATCTACATTATCTAAATTTTTCATTATAACCCTAAGATGTACATATTATTTTATCTGAAGTTTGCACACATACACACACAAATAAAACACAAGATAAGGAAATTAATCAAATTCCTCAAGGACTCAGATAGAAAAAAAGGAAAAGTGTAAGATCAAACCATCTAAGTCTGATCTAGATGTCTAAGAATAAGTTGAAGTCAGAATACTGTAACATTTTCATGCAGATGTAAATGTAGGGATCATCAGCCGACTTGAAATCACCCTATTTAGAGGGCAGAGTAAAAGAGATATTGCTTAGAAAAAATATTTCAGGTGCACCAACAAATTAGAAAAGGAAAAGGAGCTATGAAGGAGAATGGAAAAAAAAATAGACAAAATGATAGGAAGAAATTCAGGATAATGTGAGATGGTAGAAATTAAGCTGTAAAGACTTTCATAAGTTCATGATTTATATGCAGAAGAGAACTTGAGTTAAATCAAGTCTGAAGTTTGTTTAATGATTGAAACAAGAGGGAGGCTAGTGGTGATGTTGGCTAGAGTAGTTTAAATGATGCAAAGACCTCATGAGTTGATGTATAAGTGGTTAATAAGACAGAGAAGACAATTATTAAGGAGGTAAAGTTTAAGAGAGAATGTTGAAGTATGTTTGAGAAATTGCTAAACCTTGTTAAACCCGATATTGCTAAATGATATTTATAATGGGTGGTAGTGTGTATTTCAAGCTGAAATAGACTGACCCAAAAAATTAAAAAATCAAGATATTGCTCTTCAGCTCTATGAATATACTTCAAATGTTCCCTTATTTGTGTGTCACAAATTTCGAAGTAAATATATACAACAAGGAGTGAAAATGTGTCATTGTCAAATGTGTTTAGAAAGAAATAATGGGAAAACATAAATAAGAAAAAATTCAATATCAAAGCTCTGATCTTAATTATAAGGCTTTGATAGGAAAAGGACTCTCAAAATCTAGAGAAAAATGAAACCACAGATGTACCACAGTTTTTTAATCCTCTCATCGGCTGATGTGCACTTAGGTTGTTTTCATATCTTAGCTATTGTATATTGTGCTGCTATGAACATAGGGGTGCATATATTCTTTCTGATTGGTTCTTCTGATTTCTTAGAATATGTTCCTATAAGTGGAATTACTGGGTACAATGGGAGTTCCATATTTACTTTTGAGGAGGCAAAGCAGATAGTTAAAAGGCATTAGGGTTTTCACTATCAAAGGAATTTAAAAGGAATTTAATTAACCAGAGTAGGTAATTCCAGATTTCTGCTTGTAAACTGGGGGGAAATTTTTTTGTAGCACTAGGATATCCTAAAAAGCATAAAAATGTATAACATAGATATTCTAACAATAGAAGTAAAATATAGCCAATGGTAATATTAATGATACAAAATACATATGTTTGAAATAAATTGCCTATGAGGAAAACCTAAAAATAATGGATTGTAACACGTTTTAATGAATCTTTAAGAGCATGAATCCAATAAAAATGTTTTAAACACACCTCAGAGAAACTCCACTGGATAAGTTGAAACAGAAAAAACTATGTGATAAGCATTCATTGTCAGTTTAATTGCTAATACACATGTAAATTTTAATGCAAGGATTTTCTTAGCAAAGGCCATTGTTAGTATTTTAGAGACATTTCTGCTAGAAACATTTCTGGAGTTAGGAAGTAGGGGAAAGTCAGAATAGTAGATCCAAAGCAACTTGTAGGAGGTAGGGGGAAGTAAGAATAGTAGATCCAAAAACAATTTTTAGGATTTGCTTTCATTGATGTTTATAATATAACTAGAGGCCTGGTGCACAAAATTTGTGCACTCAGGGGGGGTGCGGCGGGGGGGGGAGGGAGGGTGCGTCCCTCAGCCCTGCCTGTGCCCATTTGCAGTCCAGGACCCATTGGGGGATATCCACCTGTTGACTTAGGCCCACTTCCCGGGGGATCAGGCTTAAGCTTGTAGTCAGACATCCTTCTGGCAGCCAGGGAGCCCTTGGGGGATGTCCGACTAAAGGCTTAGGCCCCCAAGGGTCGGGCCTAAACTGTTAGTTGGACATTCTTAGTGCTGCCACGGAGGTGGGAGAAGCTCCTGCCACCATCACTGCACTGGCCAGCCATGAGCCAGCTTCTGGCTGAGTGGCACTACTCCTCGGTCTGACCTAAACCCTAGAGATTAGTACTTCATTTTACAACTTTTTCTCCGTTTATAAGCAGCAGCAAACTCAGACCACACAGTCAGGTGTGCAAGAAATGTTGCTTTCTTTATTGTTTAGTAACCAAACCTAACTTCAACTTCAGCCCCCATTCTGCCAAGTGAAAAAACAAAAACAAAATATTATTTAACTTAGGTTCCCCACCCCCTTCTCTGGAGTTGTACTTCCATATCAGACAGTTTATATCTCAGGCAGAGGTGCCAAAGAACCGAGCAGGTTCAAGAACATCTGGACCTCAGTCTTCTGTCTGGGCTGGCCCCCATCCAGCTGCCCTTGACCCTCACCTCAGAGCTCAAGTCCATGCTGATCCCTGGTATATTCTCCTCATCTGGGTCTTGAGGCCTCTTGAGTCCAATCTGCTCTCTCCCTCCCTCCCTGCCACCTTCTCTCTCACACACAAAGAGCTATTGGGTTTTCTGGGGTGAGGTCCTCTGACACCTCCTCAGCCCCGTTGCACAGACACCATCTTGGTGCCTGGGTCACGGCCACCAGGCTGTGTGGCTGCTCTCAGACCCTCCATCTCCTGCTGCCTTAGGGAGTGACTCAGCAGGAGGGGAGGGTCACAGTCCTTTTTACATGGCCGCCAACAAACACTCAGTGTTCCTTCCCTCTAGTTCTCCTTCTCCTCCTCACCCCAGTCCAGGCACGTCTATGTGCAGGGCAGGGGAGGGTGGGAGGCAGGCGTGTCTGTGACCCAGCACACAGGCTTCCAGATCCACTGCTCCCCCAGGTCTTCCACGCTCTGGACCTCGACACCCAGAACCTGCCCCCTCTCAGCTGCAGGTCTTTGCCCGCAGTGGTCAAGTCTGTTTAGAGCAGTGGTTCTCAACCTTGGCTGCACATTAGAATCACCTGGAAATCTTTTCAAAATCCTGATTTCTGGGCCTCATCCTCCAGAAATTCTGTTTCTTTGTTACTAATGTTGTGGCCTCACCCCATAACAAAGAAACAGAATTTCCGGAGGATGAGGCCCAGAAATCAGGATTTTAAAAAGATTCCCAGGTGATTTTAATGTGCAGCCAAGGTTGAAAACCACTGGTTTAGAGGCTTGAAGTCAAGAAGTGCCTCTTTGTTCTCTGCTTTCTGGAGGCGGTCAGCGTGGAACATTCCTGCCTGGACTGGGGAGGGGTCTCTGGGTGTTAAGAATACCAGGACGGGGAGCACAGACTCCTCCTAGAGCTCTGAGATGGGAAAGGCAGCACCCCCTCACCTCTAACCCCAGGGCGTTTCTTTAGAAGCAGAAGCCTCACCCTGTGCAGGGGCCTGTGCTGGCTGCCTCAGTTTCTCAGAGACAACGAATTTGATGAACGTCTTTTCCCCACTGCAGTAGCTGCTTCATTTGTTCGTTCTCGCATTTTTCATTAGCTGCTAAATCGCCCCTGTGGCTGCAAACCTGTTGTGCCTGACTCAGCCAGTGGGGAGCTATGGGAGCTGTGCAGGGACAGGGGAAGGGGGAGGGGGGCCGGGCCTGCAGAGAGGATCAGTGGTGCCTGCCCGGCTGTCTCAGAGGATGTGGCTTAGGTTAGGTCCTGTCCTTTGGCAACTTTAGGAGGGGAGGCTGTGTCCTCTGCTCCCTACTTTGACTCAGGGGCGGAAGTTCTCCTTGCTCTCTGGCCTCATAACTCAGTGGATCATAGTGGGATGCGGCAGGCAGTCGGCTTCTGCGACTGCAGACTGCACACGGGAGCCAGCAGAAGGTTTCTGCGGCTGCACACACTGTGGGCAGGCGGCTTCTGCAGCCCCACACGGGCGCGGGCCTGAAACCCGGGACCGGATCGGGTCACGGACGGCGGGCAGGCGGCTTCTGTGGATGTACACAGGTGTGAGCCGGCAGCTTATAAGGCTGCATCTTTTTTTACAGGCGGCTTCTGTGGCTGTACACGGAC